ATTTGGTTAAAAATTTGTGTAGATGCTGCCGTGGGCGAAATGCTCAGTGCCCTTCCCATCCATCCCTCTCGCCACCCTGCCTAGGATGTGAAGTGATCGCTGTGAATACCCGGTCCACAAGCCAAACCTTTATTTATAAATGCGACGCCGTTCTCTGTACCCTTCCCTTGGGTGTGCTGAAGCAACAGCCGCCAGCGGTTCAGTTTGTGCCTCCTCTTCCTGAGTGGAAAACATCTGCAGTTCAAAGGATGGGATTTGGCAACCTTAACAAGGTAACTTACCCAGGCATCCTTCCACACGCGTTGCTCTCCACGGTCTTCCTTTTTGTTCATTTTGCTGTGGTCTCGACTCTGTGGTGTCAGGGTGAGGCCTGTCAGTACATTCATTTCAGTACTAATATATAAAGTATCCGGTGGGATTTTGTCTCTAGGATAACTTTGCAAACCCGAGCCTACACAGAGTCCTGTAAATGTTTCATTTAGGACATTTAAGAGGGCTTTCTAGGCGTCTGTTGAGAGTAGAAGAAACTTTAATGAAGCCCAAGCAAAAAGGACTTCCTGCTGAGGCCCAGCTGTGCTTAAAGCCCTATTTTCTGAGTCCAGTCAGCAGCTCACCAGCTGCTTTTTCATGACAGGTGGTGCTGTGTTTTGACCGGGTGTTCTGGGATCCAAGCGTCAATTTGTTTGGGCACGTTGGCAGTACAACTGCCAGCAGGGGCGAGCTCTTCCTCTTCTGGAACCTCTACAAAGGTAACTGTTTTTCTAGCTTTAATCTTTTTCATATCCTTAAAGCAGTTTTCTGATTTTTCTCAGACATATGTCTTAGCTTTTTTAATTTAGCAGTTCCTGAAATCCTTTACAGGATGGGTAATATGACCAGAAAGTGCCTGATCAGAGAGCTCCCCTCCTAGCTAGGGAGGTAGGTGGTCTCAGAACAGAGAGGGGTGGAGAGTGGAAGGAAAGAAAACGTGAAACAATTGTCAGCCATTCAAGAGGGACAAGCCCAGGGAGGCTTCTGGAAGGGACAACTTGTGTTCCTTATTCTCGGACTTTGGTATCGGAGTTGCTACCAAGTGTTTGCTCACGTCCTAAGAGTATTGTCAAATTCCTAGCTCCCGTCTTCAAGTATATTTAGACCCTGTTCACGCCAAGAAAAGGACGCAAGACTCTCCCATGCAGAATGGCTTGACTCTCAGTTCTTTCCGTCCTCCTCACTGCCTGACCCTGAAACAACCCTTCACGCAGTCAGGGCCTCTCCCGCCGCCGGGGTGGCACTTTGTCCTGAGCTCACCGCTCCTGACAACAGCCGACACACTTCCCTTCGCTCATTCGGACCACTGAGCCCTCTGTCAGCTGCGCTGTCACTCACTGTTCAGGGATCGTTACCTGAACAGTGCCCGTGCTGCCCTTGATGGTGTCCGCTGGCGCAGCCATGATGAAAGCCTGCATCACCTAGCCCTTCATAGCCGTTTGCTTCCTCAGAGCTTTTATCACTTAATAATTGTGTCTGTTTAGTTATCCATTGATGTACAGAATAGTCTAGTTCATAGCTTTTATGTCCCCAAGCATCTAGTGCTGTACCTGTCGTATCAGCTTATTACATTGATATTCACCAAATGGGTAGTGCTGGGCTCGGAGGGGTCTGGGGCACAGAAAGGTACAGTCCGTGTCAGGGGGCACACTAAGGGTGTCAAGGCCAGTTCTATTCCTAAATACAGGGTGGGTGGTTAGTTCTGGTAGCCAGGGCTGAGTTTATCCTCAAGACTGCTGTGTCCTGCATTTCCAAGCAGCATTATTACGAGTGGCACCTGTCTGTCTCCCATAGTCAGACTTCAGAGCACCAAGAGAATGTGACGCCCAAAAGGGAGGTTCTTGAGAAATAAATGTGTGGGAAAACCTTGGCACTCTTGTGTTTCCCTAGCACCAATACTGCTGGCACTCGTGGCAGGAGAAGCTGCTGGAATCATGGAAAACATCAGTGACGATGTGATTGTGGGCCGCTGCCTGGCCATTCTCAAAGGGATTTTTGGTAGCAGTGCTGTGCCCCAGGTGAGTGTGAGGGGGGTGAGGGTCTGGGGTTCAGGCTAAAGGTGAGTGTGACGTTGTTCTGTTAAGTTGAAGATTCCCAGTGCATTTGCTGGTGGGGGGTGGGGGTGGGGGCATAATGTCCCGAAGGCTTTTTGTTCCATTTCTCTTGTCTGTAGCTCTGCTTGTGGAGTCATGCCACTCCTGGTACATCTTTCTGTTGTTTGGGCCAATTGAATCACTTTCAGACTCTGATTCCTTTAAAGGGTGGTTCATTAATGCATCCTATGACTTCATAGAAGAGGGGACAGGTCAAGTCCTAGGTGTTGCTCTGGACTCGCAGACACAAAGGCAGAGTGGAGACGTCTCTCTGATAGACATTTTTCTTCAGTGTATTTTAAAGCAGCAGCATTGGTCCTGTAAAAGGCCAGCTACTCCTGGCTCTTGCCCCTCCCCCTCTGCACCCCCACTCACCAGTGCCTCTTCACCTTTCAGAGATGACTGGCTTGTGCTTGGTGTCCAGTAGTGACTTCTGTTCATGGTTTCTCCTTCAGCCCAAAGAAACTGTGGTATCTCGCTGGCGTGCTGATCCCTGGGCCCGGGGCTCCTATTCCTATGTAGCTGCAGGCTCCTCTGGAAATGACTATGACTTAATGGCTCAGCCAATCACTCCGGGCCCCTCAATTCCAGGTGCCCCCCAGGTGAGAAACTGGCAAAGGTTCGTGGGCTTATTTGGGAAGAGGACAGGGTCGCAGGGTTAAAATGATGCATTTGATATTTCCCCCAGGTTTTAGTTTTAGCCTCAGGACTGGTTCAGATAACCCCACTGCAGAGCAGAGGGGAAGGAACAGTGTTACCTGTGTCTGTCTCATATCCTGGCTGTGTAAATCTCCCAGTCTCTTCAGAATGGAAGAGTATACACCAGTCCTTAATTTGGATTTTTAGCCCTAAAAAAAAATAAGCCCCAGGCATATAAGTTGCACTCCATCTTATAATGGTTCTAGGAAGGGTCCTTTCTAGAAGGGACCTCTCGGGCATAAAATAGCCACGGGCACCTAACTGGCTGCGCCAGCCCCTGCTCCAGAGAGCCGTAAGGGCTCCTCGGGCCCCTGTGGCAATGCCTACCTTGAGCTCAAAGATTCTCTGGTCAGCGCCAACAGGAAGCCCCAACGGATGAGATAAAGGGCACCCTAGAACTGGGTGTCCCCAGAGTTGGTGACGAGAGCAGATACAGTTAAGCATCACCCTCGAACTAAGACTGGGCTGCGTTCTCCCATTTCTGCTAGTGTCAGTTCTAAAAAAAAAATGCCTGCTGAGGGAAACCCTTTTGGGCCAGATGATAAACTAGTGATTTGAGGGGTCAGCCTTCAAAAGGCCAACAGGAATTGGCAGTTCAAGTGTAAGAATAAAGGTACAGAAGATGTATTTGCTACCTACCTGTTTGATTTTTTTCCTTTCTTTCCCTGAAACAGCCAATTCCAAGACTCTTCTTTGCTGGAGAGCACACAATCCGGAACTACCCAGCCACCGTCCATGGTGCTCTGCTGAGTGGGCTTCGAGAAGCAGGAAGGATTGCGGACCAGTTCTTGGGAGCCATGTATACCCTGCCTCGCCAGGCCACACCAAGCGTCCCCGCGCAGCAGTCCCCGAGCATGTGAGCCCGTGCGGCCTAAGGGGAGGGCCGCGTGCATCCTTTGCTGTGTAAGCGAAGCGATTCTGGCAATACTGGACTCGGCGGAGACACGCAGGCAGGCACCCGCTCTCCACCAGCTGCTGGCGAGCACCCCGTGAATGGCTGCGGAAGGGGCCTGCTTTGAGTGACTTAGAGCTAGAGAGGCGCTAGTCCGTTAGTGGGGAGTCTGCTCTTCATAAAGACTGGGCAAGTGAGCTCTGCGAGAGAGCGTGTCCCTTGGTGTGTGGTGGTCTTTTTATATTTTGAGAATAAAACTTCATATAAAATTAGGCCTGTCTTTTTGGTTTCCTTTTAGGGTTTAAGTTGTATACAAGATGAGCATCCCTTCCTTGGAAATGCCTTTTTCCCAGTGTAGAGGCAGGTCGACCTCCCTGAAGGAGAAAGTGGTTTGGTGAGGTCAGAAGGGTTAGGGCGGGGCCAGCTCTGGCTAGATTCTCCCACTGCTGAGAACATGAGCTAATCTGAGGAACTAGGAAACAGTTGCGAGATTAACGCCATTCTTGACACAAAGGGTCCTCTGGAGGCCCAGTCAGCTCTCAGCCCTGATTCTTCCTCTGCGCAGCAACTCTCCACTCCTGTGCAAGGCCGTCTGCTCAGCTCCTGGCCTCTCGCAGCTTCCGGCGGCGTCTGTGCCCAGGGCTGGCAGGTGCCTTCTGCTGTCAGGTCTTCTGTCTCCTCTGGCAAGAACTGATTTAGGTCTCGTCCAAATCCCTTCTCCATCGCAAAATCGTCAATCACATCTGCAAAGTCACTTTTTGCTACAAAAAGCAAAAACATTTCACAAGAAGAGACCAGCACCTCTCTATTCCCGAGGGCCCCCAACACACCAGGCTACTGAAGCAGGTGACCTGCTTCTGGAAATCAGATTTGACTGCTGGTTATTCCCTATGGTCCATCTACATGAAGTTTTCTTAAGATTTAAGGGACACCTTACATTGGGAGATGACAGTGGACAGGACTTGCCCCGAGTCTAGAGCGGCCGGCAGCAGTGGGAGTCTCGCCCAGGATGGGCCAGGGGTGTGACCCAGCGGGCCAGGGGTCTGGGTGTGTCTGACTCAGGTTGGGTACTTGCAGTGGTCTGGGCAGCTTGGCTTTTGCGATTGGGGGTGTGTGTGACATACAGCCTAACCTGAAGTGTGGCCGTGAAACAGCTGCTGTGATCCGGTGCAGGCTGTCCGTGGGTTGTGGCTATGTCCTTTTCTGCTATGCTCCCGGCCCGCACAGCACCAGTGACCGACTCGAGTGTTGTCATTAAATACCCCAAAATTTCTCACCAGCGCGCACACAGCGGCGATCAGCACAGCGGCATCACACGCACACACGGTCCATGGAAACTAGGGAGCTTTATTGGTTACGTATTGTGCTGCAGAGCCGACAGACAGCATTGGAGCCGAGGATACATGCAGACAGGCAGCTTCCACTATACACATGCACCCCAGGGGCCCTGAGTCCCTGCTCATGGCTTCGCCCTGGTTTCCACCGACACGTTCTGGCCTCCTTGGTCCCGGTCCCAGGCCCAGAGCAGGAATGTAGAAGCTGCTGCACCCAGACTCGGAGAGGCAGGCGTGAGGCCCTGCCTGAGCGAGTAGGCGTGGGCTGACAGATACTGATGCCCCAAGAAGGGACCTATGATGCAATAACAGTTTGAGGGCTACCTTCCTAGCCCTCACAATCTTTAAAATACAAAAAAATAGACTTTATTCTCTTAAAAATACATTCCATTTAATACATGTTCTGAGCTGTGAAGCAGCAGGAAAATAGGGCCCCTTTCCTATGATCTTGGTTGTGAGGCTTGCAGGAAAGCCCTGCTCCCCAGCCGGGGTGTTCAAAGATAGTCCCAAAGAGCAGCTCTTCCACAGCAGTCTTGTCAGAGACAACCAAAGCCCCACACCAGCAAAGGCAGCTAGGGACCCCGGGAGAGTCCCTCCTTCCTTCCCCGGAAGTGTGGCAGCACTTGGCATGACCTACCAAACACAACTAGAACTGCCCCAGGATGACAATTCAAGATCAATATAGACCCCACATACCCCATGAGGGGAATAATTTATGTGCAAGCTCGCCTGTGGCCGAGGTTGGGCCCGGCCCCCTGCGGATCCCTTAATCCACACCAGGCCCGCGTCCTGGCCACGCCAAGGCAGACCCAGCCACGGCTCTGCTCGCCACCCCTGTGGCTTGCTTAATCCGGTGGGTTTTCGGACCAAAGCGGCAAGAGACGGGAGACAGCAGGTGGCAGAGACCAGCTCCTGGCACGTAGCCAGCTCTGCTGCTCCCTCCAACCAGGCAGCTCTGGAGATCAGGGCTCCCAGCCTGACCGAGAGCCCTCCCACAGCTGTACACCTGCCAGGAACGCTGGAGCCAGAGCCAGGCTACAGAAGAGGCGTGTCAGAGAGTGGGCCTGTTGGTTGGGACAGCAGGTATATTTGGCTTAATTAGGCAACTGTTCCACTACCACGTCTCCCTTTTATTTGGAAGTTTCCTCCAGAACCCCTGATGGTGAGGCCTGGGTCCAGACGGTCACATCGAGGTTGCTTTTGAGAAACGTGTCTTCCAACTTTGGAACTGGAGAGCCAGCCTTGCCAGCCAATAGCAGCTCAGAGGACCTGAGCCTCCAGCCTTCACTTGCTATTACAAACAGTATTTTCTGCAATGCTGAGGATGTTTAAAAACAAAATCTATTTTACAGCGGTAAGAGGAAGTGTGCAGATTAAGGGAACAAAATATCCTGAAGTAACTGTTACAATCAAACCCTATTGCACTCAGACTTTTAAGATGGCAGTCCCGGCAGGAGGGCACCAGAGCCGTGCCCCTTCCACAGGGCATTTTGGGTGGCGGCAGATGCTGGTGCTGCCGAAATGTGGAAAGACGCAGACTTTGGCACCAGGAGCTACAGCACCGGAATCCAGGGTTCCAGAGCCCAAAGACCAGACTCGCTGGTGAGACCTTGTAGGCGTGGCGTGGCGTGACGTCCAGTTCCCACCGTAGAGAAGAGCCCGGGCTCGGTGTCCTAGATCCTCAGTTGACCACCACAGAGGTCAGTTTCCTTTGGACTCTCAAGGTTGCCAACCAGTGAAGAATGGCAAGGCGCTGCAAGAGAGGGCTTGCAGCCCGGAGCAAGCAAGTTTCTGGTCAGTGACCTGGGAGAAGCAGCAGGAAGAGGTCTTGCAAAGAGTGTCTCAAGTTGAACATCTGAGGCAGGGGTGTGGAGAATGCACTTAGACTGGTTAAATTCCAGAAGAGGAATATGAGCAAAGCATTCCTGTCCCTGAAGGTAAGGTAGGTGCTCCCGAGCCCTCCAACAGGGCGGCCCGGTCTGATGCAGACAAGGGTGGACGCTGGTCCCCACGGGGTGACGCAGACAAGGCGGCCGGAGCAGCAAAGGCGGCGGAGGAACGAGGCGGCCCCGCCTGGGGGCAGCGGCGTCGGGCAAGGCTGGCGCCAGAGGGCCACAGAGACATCTAGCTTAACCCCCTGATTTTACAGACTGGAAAACTGGAGCGGTCCAGAAAAACAAACAAAGGCAGGAGAGAAGACAGCCCCCAAGCCCGCGTGGACGCCGACGTCCAGGAGGACGCGGCGGTGTCAGGGCCCACAGACCGTCCGTGTCAGAGGCTCCTCACAGCGGGGGCTGGCCCTGGAGGACAACGCGCCCCAGCAAGGAAGTGAGACCCGCGAAACTCAGCTTCCCCGACTGACGCTCTTTCACCACGAAGGCAACGAAGCTCCTGAGGCAGCTCTGACAGCAGGTGCCTTCGAACTCACTTCGAACTCAGAGGCTGCTGAGTGAGGGTAAAGCACTGCCAGGAACAGATGGTCCTTTCAGCTCCCCCATATGGTCAGGAAACTACCACTTTGTAGTTACGTGACGCCCTAAAAGGTCTGCTGCGCTGTGAATTCTGTGTGCCTGGGGCCCGGTGGGAGCAGGTGCAGCTGCCTCCCGCCCGGAGATCCAAGATCCGCCGAGGGTGCGTCAGCCTGTGAGGTGCGGTACCTCCCCCGTGGGGGAAGAAGGAAGAGGAGCGAAGTCCACACCTCCTGGAGTTATTGCTTGTGGAGGAGTAAAGGGGAAAGGACTTCTGCTCCCCCAAACAGGTACCCCCTTGGGGGCAGGAGGCAGGGTCTGCTGCATCAGGGACACTTCTAAGGGGGAAACGGTGAAGCATGTGAGCCTGTCTCAGGGCGGAGCAGAGCAGCGCAGTCTGCCCAGGGAGGGGCAGGAGCATGTGCGTGTCTGTGCCTTTGGCAGGTGCAGTAGGGGTGGGGGGCGTCATTCCAATAGATGAGTACCCGTGTGCCCTGCCCCAGGGAGTATGGTCAGCCAGGGGCCGGGCCAGAGCAGCTTTGACCTAGAGAGCAGTCCCACCACCCCAGAGGCAGCACAGACCCCTTCTGTTTAACAAAAACCCCCTTAGGAACTCTGAGGGAAAGGAATGGAAGCCCCACGAGGCATCTGGGAGCTCGCAAGTCTTAGTGGGCGATGAGAGAGAAGTGGACGCTGAGAGAGAAGTGGACGCAGTGAGGAGACTAGAAAGTCAGAGCATTAACCAGAACGGGCTGCCTAGGACACAGACCCCCACCAAGGAGCAGAACAGCTGCGCTGTTGAAAGTGTTTCTCTATCTTGCCCCATTCAGGGGCCAGAGGGGTCCGTCCTGTGCTGGGGACAGGACGAGGTGAGGACGCATGTGCAGGGAAGACTGGGCGCGTCCAGCCCCCGAGCTCCCCGCCGCAGTCTCCAGCCGCGGCAGCATCCAGCACAGTCAAGTGGCCCGGACCGCGCAGGGCGCGAGGGAGGAGTGGGAAGCAGGGACAGGGCAGCGACCTCACCGGCTGGCTCAGTTTTCCTCGGCACAAGGCCTGCTGGGCCGCGGCCGGTCCTCGGCGCGGGGTCGCCCGGGCTCTGGCAGCCCCTGCCTGGGGGGCAGGTCAGACCGGTCCAGGGAATCGTGCTGCCGCCTGCAGGCTCCGAGCGTGCAGTCTTCGCCTTCCTCCTGTGCCAGTGAATGACAAAAGTGAGCCGAGGGGGAAGACACCCTCACTCCCACCCACCGGGCCTCCCAAGTGGGCCGGGGGAGCCCCGTCAGGCCACGGCCTCCCTGCACAGGCCAAGCTGGCTCCGGATCCCAGGAGCTACAGCGCCCGGCGGGCGCCCAGACGGAGCAGGAGCCCGAGGGGCAGGTCCCGAGGGAGCTGAATGGCTCCTGCCGCCTCCCAGCCACCAGCACCGAAAAGCTCCGCCTTCCCCTCTGGCCCAGCCTGCATCTCTCAGAGCCAGTCTGGCGTTCTCAGCACCCCTGAGTCCCACCTTACTGACACTCTGGCCCCCGCCCCCCAAACGCAAGCCCCAGGTCACGAGTGTCCCTGAGAGTCAGGCCGGCAGGACAGAGCCTGGATGTCCAGGTAGGCGTCTGGGGTTCCAATCAGCTCTCCCAGCAGTAACTCCGGGGTGGCCTGGGGCGGCCCTAGGCGTCTGCATCTGGACACGGGCTGCTCCCCCCGCCCCCTGCCCGGGCTGCTGGAGGGGCAGAGGAACAGCTGAGGGGTGGTGCTGCGGGTTGGGGGGGTAGTGCCCGCAGACAGGGCTTTTCAGGCTGACGGCCCCCTGCCTTTTAGAAGAAAGGAAGGGAAGGACGCCCGCGTCCGCGCCGCCCTGACCCTCGGGGGCTGCGTCCCCATCGCTGCTGTCCGCACGGTCCTGACTCAGGCAGCCGAGGGGCCGGCGCTGCCGACACCCAACAAAGGGCCAACTGGCATCCGAGGCACAGGCTTGGCAAGCAGGCCAGGGCTGCCGGGGGGCATCCACCTGGCGCCCCTCTGCCGCAGAGGGGACAGCGACCCGCCCTGCGCAGCCCCAGTGTGACCCACTCGGTGCCGCCCGGGGGCCGGGATCCCCCGCTGCGCCTCACACGTGAGGTGAAGGCAGAGACCGGCAGGGAGGAGTCTGGAAATTCACGCTGCCGGCCTGACTGAGGCCCCTCTAGGCCCTTTCTCCTTTGCCACCAAGCTCTGGACTTCCAACAGCTCTCTCAGCTACCCGCCAGGGCCACGCTGGCTTTCCAAGCTCCCCGTTGCCACAAACCTGGGGCATATGGGCCGGGGCTGGGGGAGAGGAAGGGCGGGGGGGGGCTCACCGTGCCTGCCGAGTGGTTCCAGGCTGCACCCCCGGCGTTCCGGCGTGTGAGCACCTCGGACAGCGTGAGGCTGCTCTGGGTCCGCCTGGAGGCCTGCTCGAGGGAGCCGCCAGCCTCTCCCGCCCGCCGGGCACCCTGCTCAAGGCCCGCCCTGGGGGGCTCGAGGTCGGAGCAGTCCGTGGCCGACCTCTGGGTGTAGGCATGGCTGGACTCCGCGTGTCTGCCCGCCCGACTCGGGGGGTCTTCCGGGGCGTCCCAGTCTCGCCTGCTCTTCCAGGCGTTGCGCACGGTGACATGCCTGGCCTCGGCCGAGCCCACCTCCAGGGGGGCGTTATGGCTTTTCCACCTGATTGTCTCCGCGGGGGGCACGTGGCTGTTCCTCTCCAGGGGCTCCGACGGCTTGATGATGATGCTGCTGCGCGACACCACCGTTTCGGGCCGGCCCCTCAGGGGCCCGTCTCCCGCCCTCTCGGCCTCGGCAAACTGCAAGGTGATGTCGTGTTTGTGGATGGAGAGCTCCGAGGGAGAGCTGACGTGGTTGCAGAGCGGCGAGAGCTCGGGACCCCCGACCTGGATGTTGCTGGTGGAGGTGTGTCTCTCCCGCCGGGCCTCAGCCGGGGCGGCCCTGGGGGTGCTGCTGTCGGAGGGGTAGATGGTGATGCTGCTCATCACCTTGTTCATCCCTGCTCGGGGGGTGGGCTTCTGTTTCTCCAGGGTGGCCTCGGTGCCTGACCCCCCCATGATTTTCTTCACGTCCTTGTCAATGATGACCGGCTTGATGACGGCCCTGGACCGCAAGGCCTCCCTGGGGCTGATGGGCCGCTGGCTCTTCCCCCCGGCCCCGCTGGCCTCCGGGAACTCGGCCGCGTTGGCGGGGCCCCGGACAGGCTTCACGGGTTCACTGTCTGTCCCCACCTCTTTATCGCTTTCAAACAGGGCGGCGCAAAGTGCCCCCCGGTGTCTGGCCTTCTCTCTGAAGCTGGCCGGCTGCTTGGGCTCCGGCTCTGGAGTGATGGTCGTGTTCACCAGCTTGGCGGTGACCAGGGACACCGTGTCCATGTCGTCCTCTGAGTCTGGCTTCTCCCGGCTGCCGCACTTGATGACGCGGCACCTCAGCGCCTCATGGGTGCCACTGTCCTCCGTCACCACGGCCACAGGCGGGTCAGCTCCATCTTTACTCGGCGTGGAGAAGCCCTGGAGGATGTTCTCCTGGCTCTTGGTGCCATAGGGGTACTTGGACAGAAGCGGGGCCTTGGGGTTCGGGGGGCTGGCCTCGGCCTCTGGGCCGTTGGCGGCCCTCTTGCCCTTGGAGAGTCCTTCTGAGGAGGCCCTCCGTGACGAGGCCAGGGCGGAGCTGGCCCTGGAGGCACCGGTGTCTGCCGCCTGACTCCCGCTGCCGGGGGCCTGGCCCCTCTTGCCAAAGAGGGCCTCCGAGGAAGGGTCGGCAGTCTTGTCAGCGCGCCCCAAAATGTCATTGGGAGGCGCTGCGTGGGCGGCGTCGTTAAACGTCCGCGTGGTCTTCTCCACCTTCCCCTTCAGCGCGCCCTCGGGGGCTGGCCTGGGCGCCCCCTTCCAGACCTTGCCGTGCTCCTGTGCCGCGGGCGGGTAGCGGCTCAGCACCGGCGGCTGCTCCCTGGCCTTCCTGCCCTCGCTCTGGGCAGAGCCGCGCGCCTCCTGCGCCCCGGGGTCTGCGCCCGGGCCCCTGGCTGCCCGCCGGCCAGGGAGGCCGGGAGAGGACAGCTGCCTGTGGCTCGGGGCGGAGCTCTCGCTGCCTAGCGCCTCCCGGTGGCGGTGCCGCTCGCGCCGGGGCTGCGGGCTCTGCTCCCGAGGAGTGCTGCGGGCCGCGGGCGCCTCGTGGCCCCTGAACTTAGTCCTCTCGGGCCGGCCCTTGCTGGACAGGAAGGCGTCTTCCCCCTCCACCTCCCCGTTCTCCAGCTCCTTCTGTTTCTTGATTTGCAGCTTTATCTCCTCCAGCTGGCTGGCTAAGAGTTTGTTTTTGTTTTGTTCAGTTAGGTAATTATCCTGGAGGTCATTGTTCTTGGCCCTCATTTTCTTCAGCTCTTCCTCCAAAGACTCAAAATGTTTGATCTGTGTCTTCAGTTTCTCGATCTCTTGGTTGAGGTCTTTGACTTTGTTGTCTTCGTGGTTTCGGTTCTTTTCGTTCTCTGACTTGTTTCTCACGTCGTTCTCCACCTGCTTGAAGAAGTCAAGCGTGGCCTTGCGCCGGGACTCCTTGCCGGTCGGGGCCGGGGAGAGCCCGTCCTCGATGCGCAGGGCCGCGTTCCTCTCCAGGTGGGGGGTGTTGCGCGTGTGGTCGCGGCTGGCCTTTTTGTTCTGCTCCAGCTTCTGAGTGAGCTCTTTTATCAACTTCTCATTCTCTTTCTCCTTCTCATTCAAGTACTTCCTCTCACTTACAAAGCTCAATGTCAAGGACTTCAGCTTCTCCAGCTCTGACACCAGACTCTGCTCGGTTTTGTCCAGGCGGTCCTCGGAAGATTCCAGTTCTTTCACTTTGACCCTGAGCGTCTCCAGCTCAGAGGAGATTTTCTTGGTCAGATTTCGCTCCTCGTTGAGGCTCAGACACAGCTGGGTGCAGTCGTTCTTGCTCCTGCTGAAGGCCTCCTCCAGCGTCTCCAGTTCAGTCATTCGTTTCTGAAGCCGCTCGATCTCGGATTTCAGCTCCCGGGTGAGGTTTTCCTCCTCTTCCAGCTTCTCCTTCATCAGCTGGCACAGATCCTCGGCTCGCTTGATTTCCTCGTCTTTGCCCTCGATCCTCAGCACTCGCCGGCGCAGCACCTCGATCTCAGCCAACATGCTGGAGTTGCTGCCTTCCGCCTGGATCACCTTGTCCTGGAGGTCCAGGAGCTCATCCTCGGCTTTCTGGAGGTTCTTGGTGGCTTCCTCCAACTCATCCAGGCGGCGGCTGAGACTCTGTAACTTAAACCGCAGGTGGCGGCTGGAGGCGGCCTCCTTACAGCCAGTGAAGTCAGCCATCTCTACTGCCAGCCGGCGAGGGCTCCTAGGGGCATCCGCTTCTGCTTCAGGGGGTGAGGAGTGGTTACCTGTCTCGTGGTATCCACAACCTTCTTTGGCAACTGGAGACCATCATCAGTCTATAGAAGGAAGCAGAAAGCATGTCAGCCAGCAAACCTAACACCTGCACTTCAGCTCCCAGTTATAAAAAGAGCTCATGTAGGCAATCCCTGTGCCTAGGACAGAGCAGGAGCTCAAATGTGAATGGACAAGCTCAAATAAACCTGGCAGACATGGCGCTGACGCCTAGCTGGGCCCTAGTGAAGACCAGCAGGGGTCAGGGCTGAGACACGGCAGCCCGCTCGGCCCACGGCGTCCCTGGTCCCTGGCTAAAGCACAGAGAGCCCTTGGTAGCTAAGCTCTAAGCCACCCTGAGACCTGTGTATGGGAAAGCACTCACAAAGAGCCCATTACCCCGCTAAGTGAAGGCGGCACCGGGATGCCGCAGCCATCTTCCCAACCCATCTTAGCTTCTTCTCTCCCGCAGGGACAAGGAGATAAGCAGAATTCAGGTGTGAAATAAGGCCACGGTGGCAGGTGAAATAATCCAGTCACAAAAGACATGTGATTCCATTTATGAGGCATCCACAACAAATGCAGAGAAACCAAGCTGATAGATCAACACAAGTGACGCCATGACAGATTCTAAAGTTTATACAGAGACAGGAGACACAATGTTGAAGAGCAAAGCCAGAGGATGATACTACTTGAGTCAAGGCACATTGTTGGTAAAGGAACAGACAAGTAGGTCACTGGAACCTATTAGAGAGCCCAGAAATAAACCCACATAAACAGGCATCCAAGCTTTGACTGAGGCAGGAGCAACAGAAGGCAGCAGAGATGAGTCTTCTCAATAAACGGATATCCACGTAAAAAAAGTTCACCTAGACACAAGTCTTTGACCTCTCACAAATATTACCTCAAAATGGACCCACAAACTAACAGCAGCACATAAAGTCATAACACTCCTAGAAGATAACAGGGAAGAAAACCTAGATGAACCTGAGTATAGCAATGACTTTTTTGAGATAACACTGAAGACATGAAGAGTTGATACGCTGAACTTGATTAAAATGAAAAACCTCTGTTTGGCAAAAGACAATTTTCAGAGAATGAGAAGACAAGCCACAGACTGGAAGAAAATATTTACAAAAGACATCTCCAGTAAAGGACTGGCACCTTAAACATACGAAGAGCTCTCAGCAGTCAATGAAAAGACCACAAACCACCCAACAGAAAGCTCCATCAAAGATCCTGACACCTCACCAAAGACATACAAAAGGCAGGTGATAGGCAAGGTGTATGGAAGACGTTCCCACCCTATGTGGCTAGGAAAATGCAAGTAAAAACAAGATGCCTCTGTACATGTCCAGATCCCAAGCACAGCGCCCAGTGCTGGCAGGGATTGGAGAAACAGGCGCCCTCACTGCTGGTCAGATGCAAAGTGGTGGGATTACTGGGGTCTTCTCTGAAAACTAACCCTCCTCTCACCATACCATCCAGCAATCACGCCACACGGTACTGGCCTAAAGGAGTTGAACGTCTGCACACAAAAGGCTGCACGCGTCTCCCAGCAGCTTAGCAACAGGCGGTCACCCTGTCCACAGCAGTGCTGGTAAAGCAACGCATGAGTATCAGAGAGAATCAGGAGACGGAACAACTAATCCTTGGTGATTTTTGGATTCAGCTCCCAAGCGGAGCAACGATGGGAGGATGTCAAGAGTCGGATGGGGGAGATGCATGCTGGTGTAGTTGGTGTAGTGGTGACTATGACCCAGGAAAATCGGGAAACTTGGCAAGATACGCAAGAAAACAGGGAACCTCAGAAGCATTGTCCTTGCGGGGGAACAGGAAGGGGCTCTGGCAGACAGCTGACCAGCAGGGGGGCTGGAGAACACAGACAGCAGGTGACAGAAAGGCCAGCAGACCCGGGACAGGTGTCGGCAGGCAGGAAAGCTGGGAAGGGTTTGTTTTTGCTTTCTTGCTGAAACAGAGAGCACAGTCACCATCTCAAAGAAATGAAGGGGAGTAAAGTATTTCAGACTTAGCAAAATAAACCTCCTTGGTCCTTCTCTGGTGGCACAGCTTTGCAGCACTGCAAAACTATTGATGGCCACTTCAGCTTGGTTTCGATCCCTGACCAGGGAGGTGACCCACATGGCACAGCAGCCCCCCCCCCCCACAATCTCACCTGCTGCTCCCCTCAGCAGTATACTTTGTCAGTCTGCCTGTTCTGCTCCCCACTATCTCCGGTGAATCCTCTCACCATCTTGTACCTCTGGCCTGTACCCCAGTTCTGTATGTATAAATATGTCTTTTTTTAAAAAAGCCTCCTTAATAAAAAATAAAACTATCCCACAGCAATAGTTAGGGTTAAATCCTGCACTTAAAGAATGTAATGGTTACCAGAGAGGGTGGGAGGTGGGTGGGGTGGCTTGGTGGGGAGTAAGTGGAACATGTGCATATGAGGAGCAAGAATGTAACCTCAAAATATAAGTTAAAAATGAATAAATAACTAAAGTATGAAGATCGGAATACAGGGGGCAAGGGTAAGACGAACAACGGAAGAAGGAAATGACAGGCAAAGTGTTGCAATGATCACCCAAGTGCACACTGAAAGCACCACAGAGGGGCCGACCAGACCAGTGCTGGAAAGACATCAAACACTGAGGAAGCAGGGTACGAGGCGGGGCCAGGGCGGAGCCCAAAGGAGCACCAGACATGGCCTGGTCAGATCAGACTTATTCATTTACTTATTTGTTTTTAGATTTGACTCTTCAAAATTATATATATATTACATCATTGCTCATTTCTGTACAATGACTTCTCCTCGCAGGTGTAGTTCCCATAAAATTCGTACCACCGTGTCACCTGTGAACCATCACCATAGTCTCTTATGCTCTTAAAACCAGGGCGAAGGAGGGAGGAGCAGCCACCATCGAGAGAAAAACGGACTCAGTAACGATTCCATGTAAAAGCTCAAGGCAAAAGAGAACCAGCCACGAGGGGGATTTGAAGAGATGCCAGAGGCCTCTGTCTTCAACCCTCACTTGCACTAAACGCCTACAGCCACCAGGGGCCGCGCACACCAGGCTCAGGGCCAGCCCAGGCTGCAGGTGCCCGGTGCGGAGCCTGCGGAGCCTCTGGGCCTGGCAGACCCCGGAGGTCGGGGGCGGCGCTCTCAGTCCTCTCTTTGCTTCTTTCAGACACCCATTCTTTTTCCTCCACATCCACATGCTTCCTCTAGCTCAAAAGTAGAGAAGGGGAGAAGAGAACCCCTACATTTACTTACTTTTATATTACAGAAACGCCCTTATTCCATCCACTTTTCCCTGAATGCCACCTACAAACACTGGCTTCTGGCTCTCGCTCGGCGGTGCCCACAACACCCGAGTTGACGCTTGCGCCTGGGCGCTAGGTGAGGGCTGGGCGGTCAGCCTGTGTTTAGTGAGGCTCTGCACTGGCTGAGCGCTTACTGAAGACGGTGCTTTGAAATAGTTTATCTTTGAAAAGATGCTAGAAAGCCATTAAAGCATGTGCTTTAGAGATGAACTTTACCATAGATGAATTAAATCTCAATAAAGCTGCTTTAAAAACCCCAGCTTATCCCCAATTGAAACATTCCTTCAACAAACGCTATTTGTACTAGTTTGTAGTTGTTTTCATGAATTCCCTTTTAACAGAAGGTAATAATGGTAAATTTTAGTATGACCCCATCTATAAATTATAATCCTGAATTAATATGCAGGAAATGCTTTCTTTACCCTCATTTGGCTTTAAGTGCCAGTTTTATATTCCATTCAAGAATCTGATATGGAGCCTCCCTGGTGGCACAGGCATTAAAGTCTCAGCGCCACCCAGCCAGCCACAGCGACATGAAGTTGACTGACATGAACTTGAGCCCCGGTGAGGGTGCTGACCCACATGGCGCAGCAGACCTCTCCTGTCTCACCGCTGCTCCCCTCAGCGGTGTGTTTCGGTAGATCCACCTGTTTGGCTCCCCACTCTAACTCAGGTAAATCCTCTCACCCCCATACCTCTGGTGTGTATTCCAGTTTTTATATGTATAAATATTTTTTAAAAAAAGAATTTGATATGGTCACAAAAATCAACTCGAAGTGGATTAAAGACCTAGACATAAGAACGGAAACCATAAAATACCTAGAAGCAAAGATGGGTCAAACACTACACGACA